TTAAGGTTTTTAGGAGTGATTTTAGTAAGTTTTTTCTGAGTATTTGGTGTGATTTTCCTAGGAAAAGTTTCCAAGAGTTTCCTTTAGGTTTTTGTGATTTTTATGCCATTTTCATGCTTGTCTATTTATATGCAATTTTTTTTTTTGAAGACTTTTGACTCCATATAAACCATTGAAATTATGGTGTTTTGGAGTGATCGTGGCGATTGAATTTTGGTTAAAGCTTATCCCTCCAAATTGGACAATTTTAGGCCTTTAATTTTTCTTTAAACTAAATCCCTCGACCTTGCATGCCTAATAGCCTTTCCTTTTTATTTAAGTCAAAGTGAATTAATTGTGGCTCAATCATGGAGCCAAATTTCGGCTAGAGCATGAAGAAAAACCTTTTTTTTTTTTTTTTAATTTTGGTCCCCCATTTCTTAATCTTTTTCCTTAATCACTCCTTTCACCATCCTTCAATTTGTCAATTGATCACTTCAATCCCTTCCTTAAAAGACATGTTAAAAACTTTTAAACTCCTTAGATTTATAGCTAATTTAATTTAGAAGTTCAAACTTTAAATTTTATGCAATCTAGTCCCTAATTTCTGTGCAATTAGACCCTTAACTCTAAAATTTTATTTTATACTTTTTAAGATTTAATTTCTTTATATAATAAATTCAAAAATTTATTAAGAGGATTCAATCTAAATTTTCATAATTTTTGGACCTCATATAGGCCTCTAAATGAATTATTTAGTGTGAAAATTAGACTATTTCTTATAGAAAATATTCCTTGCACCTAATAAAATTAATCTAAATTTATTAAGTATTCCTACACATTCCCTAGGATTTTCCTATGCCCTAAAAAAAAAATTTCTCATACTTCTAAGTCACCTAATTTAATTCTTTATCTCTAAAAACATTATTCCTACACTTAGAAATTTCAATGAAATATTCACCCTATGTAGAAAAATTCATAAAATCATATAAAATAATCTAGCACCCTTCTAAAAATTATTCTAGACAAACAAAATATTTTTCATACATAAACAACATGTTTTAATTAATTTTCTCATGCAATAACTACTATTCATGTACCGAAAAATCACTAAAATATTCTTTAAGCATGAAAAAACTATTTTGACCCTTCTAAATATTCTTTTAAATTTTTAAGAATTATTTCTGATCCTCAAATATATATATATATATATATATATATATATTTTTTTTTTTTCACAAAGGCTAAACAGGTGACCTTCCTTTATTAATTGGTTAATACGAGTAACCATCCTTAAGGTAAAAAAGGTAACCTTTTTTTGACAATTGGTTGATTAGTATGGGTAAGCATCCCCGAGGTCAAACAAGTGACTTTCCCTTAGTAATTGGTTCATACGAGATAACCATCCTCAAAGTCAAACATGTGACATTCCCTTAGCAATTGGTTAATATAGGTAACCATCTCCAAGGTCAAAAAGGTGACCTTCCTTTGACAATTAGTTACTACGAGTAACATCCCTAAGACCTTCTCTTGACAACCGATCAATATGGGTAACCATCCTCGAGGTCAAACGGGTGACCTTTTGTTAGCAATGCACGAGAGGCAAGCAACATAACTTATTCTCATCGGAGAAATTTAAGATTCCACCATTAAAACATAAACGTTTCCCTTTTCTCCTCATTTGCAACCCATCATCATCCGAACAGGCTCGAGGTTTTAGGCGAACTACTCTTGCTGATTTTTATCTTGTTTAATCACATGTCTCTCGATGATGCCTTTTTCTGTTGGCACTCGTTCACATAGCCTAGATGGAATCCACCACATGCTTAAACATGTGGCCACTTATGTTTTATGCCCCCAAACTATTACTCCTAAATACTTGGATTCTCTTCGGTATATGTTAGTGAACCGAGCTTCAAAAACATCAAAGTAGCCTTTGATCATTGTTGTCCGTCGTCAACCACGAAAAAGATTTTTTTTTGTCCTTACTTTGCATTATCATTTTTTATCTATAAAAGGTTAATAAAATTCTTATCACTTCTATTATTTGTCCTTACTTTGCGTTATCATTTTTTATGAATGACATTAAAATATGAGATTATGTATGAGACTAATAAAAGGTTTGCTTACTTTAGGGATCGATCACTTTTATAAGAGCATTGATTATTTTGATAGGTTGAAAGTCATAAATCATTCATATGAAGTTGATAAAAAAATAAGAGAAGCAAATTCAAAATAATTAAACTAGTAAATATTTGACAATAATTCAGATTATTTCTTTTATTGTATTAAAACGAGAGAAAAACATAATAGCTCAAACATAATTTTTTTATAACATCGGAATTCACTAGCTTCGATAGGACCTCCCCATCCGTCTTCATTAAAAAACGAGCTCATGCTCTCTTTACCATATATGGACCATCATAATGAAGTGCCCACTTGCTATGATCTATAACCAAAATAAGAAGTACCCTTTTCAAAACCAAATCTCCTTCATAAAAAGTTCTTGTATGAACTTTCTTACCATATGCTCATGCCATTCTTTTCGATAGAGATGTACATAATAAATAATTGCTAGTAACTTTTCGTTGATAAAATTTAACTCGTTCAAACTCGATTTTGTCCTATTCGACTCATCTAGTTCGTTTCTTCTAATACTTTCAAAGATGGTATCTCCACCTTTATAGGCATTATAGCTTCCATTTCATACACCAACGAGTAATTAGTTATCCTAGTCGATGTCTTTATTGCCAATCTATAAACATGTAACACAAATGGTTGCACCTCATAGTAGTCTTTATATGTGACTATTATTTTTTATATGATCTTTATATTTTTGTTTGTAACTTTCACAACCCCGTTTATCTAGGTGTGTATGGTGAAGAATTGCGATGCTTGTTTTCCACGACTCGCATAATTTCATGATCATCTTGTCATTAAAGTTTTGTGCATTGTCTATCATCAAGGTTTCGAGGATCATACCGATAGATGATGTCTTTTTGCATGAATTGACGAACAACTCTTTGGGTAACATATGTAAAAAATGTAACTTCCATCCACTTAGTGAAGTAATTGATTACCACCTCATAAGTTCATAATTAGCATGATTTTTATGCTCTTTTATATTGAACTTTCTAGTATTTATTGTATTATATTTAATTAATTAAGATCAAGATAATGATTTTGGGTTTTATAAGAAAAATGACGAATCGAAGTAAAGAAACTTAAAACCAAAGAAAGGAGAAGCACAAGTCGGTAAGGAAGCTTAGGAGTCACACGGCCATGCGAAATACAAAGGAAAAAGTCATTGGCCATATGAAACAAAGGAAGAAACTATATAGATTGCTCAACAATAAAGCCACATGGGCAGTAACTTTCCATACGATTAGAGCAAGGAAAGTGACATGGTTGTACGGATGTCAAGACTGAAGTACCTTCTAAAAGGAAAGATGCATCAGATTGGCGGTGGCCATTCCACAAGAAATATACTGAAGAGAGACATGATAGTGTGTGTCAATTTTGGAAGAAGCCCATATGGGACTATAATTTCAGTCTTTTCAATTTTTGTCAAAAGTTGTTTTTTTAGTTTTTATATTTTATATTTGTTTACAAATATTTCCTCACTTGAATGTTTTTTACAAACACATTTTACCCACGTTAAGAAGTTTTTGCACTCGTTGGCCCTAATGTCAAAAGATTCAACTATATCAACCATAACTAAGCTTGATTTAAACAACTATTGTATATTTTGCAAAATATTATGGATAATGGAAAACATAAATTATATATAAGCATTTTTTCCTTCTTTTACTATTCTTAGGTTTTTCTTTTCAACTATAAATAATTTTAACGGATATTCAATAGCATGAGCCAATTACAAAACAGGTCTCATACACGAAAGTCAAAACCTGCTAACATAATGGGTATGTATTTTTCTAACGCATACTATAAGTGGAGATGATTAGGGTTACGGATTTTCCAATTCCATGTTTCTTGAACCCACAGTCCATTGCAAATAGTTTTTGACTTTTTACAATTATCATGTTTGGACTTCATTTCGATCTTGATTTTTCAAGCACAAATTTTATTTTCAAAAAAATGAAAGAAATAGGTATTTTAGGCAAAAACCAAACCAAAAGTCGAAAAACAGAATCTAAAATTCATTGAGTTTGGTTATGATTATGAAAGATTCAGTTGATCCAAAACTAAACCAAAATATTCAAAACTGAAACCGAAAAACAAAACACCTATTCCCATATTTACTAAGCCAAAAAAAAAAAAAAAAAACGTTTGTTCGGTAGAGTTCATCCTAGTTAAAGACCCATCCTCTAAAGGAAAAGAGGCAGGCCTAATGATTTTGAATCATTGGCCCTTGAATTACGAGTGCAGTTTTTTCAACTAAGAGAAATTAATAGCAAGTAAATCCAATGACTAAATCCTTTTTGTTTGAGCTTCCTTGACTTTGTTACAGCAAGATTTCTCTGAGCTAACACATGAAAAGAATTAATCAACGGGGAAAAAGGCTGCCGGGTCCAACCGTCCAAGGGACCACCACCACTAAAGTGAAAATGAAAGACAAAAGATGCTACTAACATGCATATGGATCGCCTCAAATTCCAGAACCAGAGTAGACCTCTCAAAATAGCCGTTACCTTCATAAAGAGAGAAGGACTAACTAAAACAACAAACTAAAATGTTCTAGTACATTTTTAATGTAAAGAATACATAGAACAAGGTGAGCAAGAGTGACAACAAAACATATTATAGCGAAGTGATTTAGTGCCCACTTTAATCATTCTTGAATAATGAATTGTCTTTAAATATGGACATGAGAGGCCTCAAAAAATTGATGATCGTTATTTCAATAATGGAAGCAATTAAAATGGGCACAAAATCACAGGTTCTGCAAGATTAGTTAATGAGAACACTGAAATGCTGGTCCTTCAAATTCAACATCCTGGACTGGGAGTGAGTTCTTGGCTTCCAGCATCCTTGTGGCCTTGCCCAGATGGACAAATCACTCAAAGAGTTACACTTGGGAACTTGCAATGTCCAAAACCTGTCATGAAATTAGAAACCCATTGTTAGAAGGGAAGGAATCAAACGACTGACTTAACAAACAACATGCCCCAATATTGAAGAGGATGGAAAAAAAAAAAAAATCAACCAACTATAATTGAACTACTTACTTGGATCCTTAGGCGTCTTGGTAGCTAGCCCGTTGAAAGAACAGGTGCCACCAATTTTCTTAAACTGTGCCCAATATGAACTAAACGCATAACTCGCGTGCCAGAACAATGAATCCGGTTTATAACACTTCTTCCCGGGCTGGATAGCGTCGCAAGTTTTATTCCCCTGCGAGCAAGCGTAAGATAACGCATCTGCCACTGCACTCATATTGGCCGCCTCACCCACCATACACCATACCTTCCCTTTATAAGGCTCGTTATTTGTCGGAACCGGCAATGCCTTTTTATACTCCGATAGCGGGGTCTCTCCACTGAGATCGATCTCGTAGACTTCAGTCCCATTCGGGTATAATAGCCCGAAATGCCGCTCCGTACCGGGACCCGGTTTCTGGTTCTCGTTATACAAGGCAAATATGATAGCAGGTATGACCCAACCGGGTCGGGCTGGGGTTCCAATTGTGGGTTTTGTAGTGAGTTTTTTTACAACGTTGCGATTGTAAGTGGCAGAGTTGTAGATATTTGCTCCGATTTGGTCAATATCTCCGCCACTGGGCCAACCGGTTTCCGCGACAAAAATACGAATATTCGGATAACCGAGACGTTTCATCGCGAAAACGACGGCGTCTAGGATTTGGTCAAAGAGGTTTGTGTAGGTTAAGTTTGTACCCGGGTCGGTGTATGTTATATTCTGGGCCTTCAAAAGCGCGTAGTCTAAATTGATGTTTTGTGGGTTATCGGCCCAAGCGAAATAAGTGTAGGCATCAATGAAAAAGAACGACTTGGTGCGGTTCAAGAATTGCAACATCGGTTTAATTATCGGACCGGCAATATCGGACCGAAACGTGCCATTTGATGGTGGAAATGAAGACTCGAGGACGTTCAATGCAGATGGAGTACCCACTTTGACTTTTTTGATCTTGTGGGTTTTTAAGGAAGCTTTGATTTTAAGCATGGCAGGTACAAGGTTGAACCACGTGCCTGTATCAGGATTTGTGAGGATTTCGTTTCCGACGAGGAGATATCGGATTTTGACATCTGGGTAGTAAGGGACGACATTAGCGTGAACCCATTGGTCTGAGAGAGATTGGCTTTTGGAGATGTTTGGTATGAGCTCATTAGGGACCATGATAGAGACTTGGATGTCGGTGTTTTTGAGGGATTTAAGGATATCTGGATCAGCATCATAGATTTTCACTCGCTTGGCTTTGAGAGATTTGATTAGTTCCACGGACTTGGGAGGAGATGGGAGATTGTTTCCTAGCTGACCGTAGTTTACACCAATTTTGTTAGAGATCTCTGCACCTGCAAGCGTGTAGACAAATGGGGTTAGAGAGGAAAAAAAAAAATCACAAAACCCAGTTTGTCATTTCAAGAGAAAATATACACGCACTTACTTGAAATAGAAACTAAGAGAGCAAAAATGAAAAGAGGAACACAACCCAACCCCATTATCGCTCTTTTGCTTGAACTTATTTTAGTGGGTATGAAGCATGGAGCAAAGAGGAAGAATTTGTGGAGGCACCAGAGTGGATCTAGCATCCGAGGGTGCTAAAGAATTGGAGAGAAGGGGTCTTAGTTTAGTCTCTAGGAAGGCGTGTTGGCTTAAAAATGATATAACTAGAGCACAATGTGGCAACTTGTCATGCGTGCTAAGGTGGAGTGATTTTGGACTTGTGTGCGATTTTTGATATTGGGAATAATGTGCTATGAGTGATTTCAAGGAATAAGTCACTTTTTTTTTATTCTTTTTTTTTTTTTTGGGGCTTTGTCTTTAGCTTTGTGAAAAGATTGAGAAAGCGAGCACGGATTGAGGGATCCGCAGAGAGAATTGGATCAGAAGCGTATGAAGTGAAGAAAAGCTGAAAGATGACAAGAGAAAGGATGTAAAGAAGAGATGAGTGGGGCATTTCTGGTGACATGAGGCTTTTGCTTGGTTTCTAGGAAGGAGAGCGAAAGCTGAGACATAGAACATAAAGCCCACGTCAGAAAGAGCAAATTAGCCGTTTGATTTCTGGGCCCAGTGACTCGCTGGTAGGTCCCATACAGTTTGTGTAGTGTGTAACAAGCTAGATGAGGAAAGGAGTCTCATTATGAGGCCTAGACCTACTTTGTCCTTCCAATTTGCTACATTTATTTAGTAGGGCATCGTGGCTTGATGGCTACTGGCTGCTAGCTATGAACAGAGTCGTGCACTTTTGTTGTGAAAAAACTAAATGACTTTGCCGAAGAAGGAAAAGGCCAAAATAGACAGGCACTGTTTTCGGAAAAAAAAAATTAAAAAATAGGCAGAGGGTAGCATCTGAAATGCTTAATGGTTTATCTAGGAAAATACTAATCAAAATAGATTACCATTGAGTTGCCCGCGGGTTCAAGTTGCTATATTCAATGAAGAGCTGTGTTGTTCGAGGAAGAGAACAACTTCCGGTGTGCTGATAACATATTGTTGAAACTTACTGAGTTCCGAGCTAATATATGCTCAGTTGATGATTTAATCTTCGCTTTCTACGGGACAATAATTCAATAGCAACACAGAGGTCCTTTCTTTTGCTTTTCTTTCTTAACATACTCTTTCTTTAGATAAATAACTACTATAAATGCGGTGACAGTATGATGTAAATGTAACTACCTTTTTTTGTTTTTTTGTCAAAAATGTGAAATAACTTATTTTGTTTTTTATTTTTATATTAAAAAAATTGATATGTGCTTGGAGTGTGCCTCTCATACCAAAGTTTTAATTAGTAGTTTTAGTTATATATATATATATATATTAACTCACACACCCAATACACATACTCAAAAGGCTGTTAACAAAACTAATTAGAATTTAAATTCATATTCTTTTATTAAAAAAATTTATATACAAAACAATCGGTCAAACCAAATTTCCTATTATATTTATTTGGTGTCCAGATGGGATGTAGTTGCTAAATGTCACTGACCTCGTTAGAAGCCAATGCTATTTATTATATCATACAAATCTCAATGCGAAGAGAGGAAAGTATCGAGAACCTCCTAGTTTAGGGGTTTGGGAAATTTGAGTGTTTGTTTATTTTTTAATGGTTTATGGAAGAAGGGATAAATAATCACATAAATGTGGAGTAAATTACAAATTAATTTTTATTTTAAAAAATAAATTAAATAAGTTTTGAAAAATAATTAATTAGTTCATTTCATGTTATTTTTCAATTCATTTTGTATTTTTTATGAAATAAAAAGGTAAAAACATAAATAAATATTATGAAATGACTGAAGAAAAAAATTGAAAAAAATTTATATTAAATTAAACATAGTGAATATTGATAAATAAAAAAATAATTAATTAATTTTTAAAATTAAATATACTATTTAATTTGTTTTGTAAAACTAAAAAAAAAAAATTATAATTTACTCCATAAACTTGTGGAATGGGGACATGGATATAAAATTATCCAGTGGACCGCTCTGTACCCCAAAATAGCACTCCAACTTCTCCTCTCATGAGATCGCATGTCTTTACATTAAAACAATTATTATTATAAGGTGCCTACTACAGAGCTGTTGCTTTTAACATTGTGTTTGTATATTTCCTCGTGGGAGGAAAGAAAAAAATAAAAAGAAAGAAAAATAAAAGAAAAGAGAATTAATTTTTACTTATTTTTTAGATAAGAGTAGAAATAAAAAAAATATATATTTTTTCTTATTTGGATAGTTGTAAAAAGAGAGATGAAAGAAAATATATTATTATATATTTACTATAATACTCCTATTATTACATTTCTATATTTAAATACTTTGAAGGGCAAAAATGATAATACCCTCTATTCTCTATTTTTTATTATTTTTGACATGATTTTCTCCTACTTTCCTCCCAGTTTTTAGAGGAAAGTAGGTCACACCATATTTAAATTTGTTTATTATTATTTTTTTTCTTTCCATAAGCTTTTTTTGAAAACCAAACAAGTTAAAATTTTCTTTCATCTCCCTAGCTTTTCACTCTATCCAAACACATGATAAATGTCGTTGCTGCTTTGGTATCATTGCTTACGTGCCACAAAAAGATACCCTAAAAAAACATCAAACAAATTTGGCAAAATTATTCAATATATCGTGCATTGTGCATCGTTCCTTCACGAGACCAATGAATTATTTTCTAGATAGAACTATAATTTTGCAACAGAACATAATATAACTCGTATCATACTTAATAATTTCTCTCTCATTCATACAAAATAAAATATTAATAAAACCAACAATTTGTCTTCCTATGTGTTGGAATATTTTTTAATAAAAAGTCTCAACAATTAATTGTTCTTTTCTTACCATCTTATATCGGATTTACCCCATAATTGATTTCTATACGGTTCTAATTCTTTTGATTAAGATCCTTTATTATTTTTCAGCTTGATTAAAACTATTTACTTTTATAAATTTGTTGATTCGAGAGCCTCTATTAATTGTTCATTCAACGTGGCTCGTTAAAATTAACAATAACTAATCACAAATAAACACGTGAGATAGTGGGTCCCAACTTTAACAAGTATAGTTCGAAATTAAAAAAAAAAGATTTCAAAAGGTTTTCATTAGTAAACTGATATTTAATATTTAAAAATAATTGAAAAAGATCACATTGCCCCCACCCTTATTATCTTTTTTATTGTAACAATCCGGAAAATAGCCTTTGAAACTCTTGGCTTTGTTTAATTGTTTAATATTGCCGCTAACTCGTCATCGGGCGACGTCAAGGCGAGGGTGATGAATTTGGGCAAAAATAACTAGAGTCGCCAACTAATATTATGTTTACTATGAAACCTTATGACTCGGTCTATTCGTAGTTCCGAATAAAGGGTTTATTACATGTAGAGAAGATTAAAAATTCCCCTACTCCTTCCTGTTTAAGACAAGCTCGCATTGCATAAAATATCGGTTTGATTTTTGATTTTTTTATAATGAAAGTCTATACCTATTTTTCAAACATTTGCCCACTAGTAGAGTGATTTGGGACTTGACCGATCGTAAACCTTATTCTTACTCTATAATGAATAGCTAAAAAGCAAAAAGACATGATGAATAGAAGTATATGTGGCTAATGCGACTTAAATAGCGTACGTGAAAACAAGGCTTAAAAATAGGTAAATGGGCAAACAGAAAAAATAAGCAAATCGACAAAATAGGCGAATAGGCAAAATGGATAATATAGGCAAATTGACAAAATCAATAAATAAGCAATTAGGCAAAATAGATAAAATTGACAAATAGGTAAAATAGCAAAAATTGACAAAATCTACAAATAGGCAAAATAGACAAAATCGAAAAATAGACATAATAGATAAATCGATAAATAGACAATCGAGCAAAATCGACAAATAATGATAAAAAAAAGAAGCAAACCTAGCAAAAATCATTGAAATTGGTAAAAACGACGACAAAATTGGTGAAAACAATAAAAATGATCCAAAGACAAGATTCAAACCATCTCAATTCAAAATTGTATATTCTTTGGATGAAATTGACCACATGAACGATTTAATGTTATTAACAAAAATAGTCCAAAAAACAAGGTCCGAACTGAAGCGAGTGCAATTATGCAAACGACGATAAATATTTATAAAATAAATTAATATCACATTTCGCCTCGATATTTTTCGTGTCTTGACCTTTTTTTGCAAGTTCGATACATTAAGTGTATCTTGAACGCGCCAACTCAATAATCACACAACTACAACAATAATTTAAAGTCATCAAGTGCAAGTACTAATTTAAAGTCATATGACTACAACACAATTTAATTGATTTACGGGCATATCACAATAATTTAATTAATTACAAGAACATCAACATAAATTAAATTTAATACGTATTAAATAAAATGAAATAACAAAGAAAGGTGAAAAATAAATTACCGTAAAAAGATATAATGAATTTGTCAAGCGAATTTGGGATCGGTTGACTTTTTCAATCCCAATGGAGACTTATATTTAGTCAATCGGAGAGAAAAGACAGGTTGACTCGTTGTCGAATATGGATTCGAGTGTGAGATAAAGTAACTCGTTAGTGACCGGATCGGGGGTGGACAATTGAGGTGGTTGTTGGACGTGGCACACATGCGAGTGTGGTCGTTGGACAATGCGCGTTGAGGAGTGATGGTTGATTGGGGAGCACGCGTGAGTATGATAGGAGAAGTAGACTATCGTTACTACGGATTGACTATCGATGGCATCGTGGAGCGTACATTGTTACAAATCTATTGGATTGCACGTGTGTGGTGTGGAGGGAGGAAAGAGGTCAGGCAACTGGAATTTGTTTTATGGAGAGAATCGGGTTTGGGTAGGAGCTTATAGAGAGAGAAAACCCGACGACTTGAGTTTTTTTAGAAAAAGAGAAAACTAGTGGTTGAAGTTTATGGATAGAGAGAACGGTGGTGACTAGAGTGAAGAAGAGGGATATATACTGATTTTTTAGGTTTTTTTGTTAAAATTAAGTTTGGTCCTTCTACTTGCAAGCTTGTTTTATTTTAGTCCTTTATTCTTCTTCTTTTTCAATGACATCCCTTAATTGTATTTTTTTCAATCCCTTTTCTCTCTTTTTTTTGTTTTATTTTTTTTTGAAAAAATTTTAGATGCTAACACTAACAATTCGATGAAACTCCTATGGCAAGATACATCCAACCTAAAGAAACTCTTGCTTTGTTTGAGAGGGAATGTTAATGTTTCGGAGGGAATGCTTGGGAGTGGTTACTCTTGATCATAGCTAGTCCTTTTCCCCCGAACATTGAATTAGCAATTCCACCTAGATCCAAGACTTGAAGAAGATCATGAGGGTTGAGTCCACTCCTTTCTAATAGCATCAATCCCTCCAAAAATGCATTAATCACGCTATCCATTATTAGATTGACCATAAGTTTCATTTTCACTCTATTTCTAATTTACCCAAATAAGAAAGACTTCTTCCTCAAGTAGAGATGCCACTCCTGCCTCGTCCCAATAGAGCCCCACTCCTCCTCGTCCCAATCAATGCGAGGATTCCTCGAGTTGACTAGAAAATGGGACGGGGCGCACTAAAGTCGGCGAGGATGGTATTTCGTCGCCTTGCCTCGCTTCGCCTTTTCTTTTGAAAATTATAATTATACCGAACATATATATAAACTCCGAGGCTACAAGCTAGTCTCCAATATAATGAATAAGTTTTGATAATCTCTAAGCAATAAAGACATGCAAGAATTTATTTATTTTTTAATTGCATTTATGAAACTTCATCAACTTAATTAAGTATATTATTTATTCAATTAAACATAATTTAATATATTATGACTTATGTTGTAAACTTGTAGTTGAATATGATATTAAATTATTATCTTTCTTAATTATATTTTTATATGGATTATTATTTTTTTGCTATAATTTAAAATTTGATATAAGATAATATGAGGTAGAATTAAATAGAGCGGACGTAAAAAATTAAGGGGGCATTGAGGATCCTCGTAGGGATCCCTATCCCTCACCTCGGGCAAGGATGGGATGGGGGTGGGGATGGCCTTACCCCATTGTTATTCCTATCCCCAAGACATTAAAAGATGGAATTGCTTTCTCATACAATTCCTTATCGTCGACAGACGAAGGATTACTAGTTGACCAAGTATCTGCAGCTGCTTGCTACTTGACATAGGAGCATTAAGGAGGGCATCGCCCTTTGATGTAGTTGCCTTGTTGATCTTGGAAAATGTTTTAGGATTAACTATGAACATGTCAATATAACCTTTTCCACTCGTCAATTTGCTTAAGTACACCATTTTTATCAAAAACCATCGAATCAAGCAATGGTAGGATCGGATAACATAGCAATAGTAAGTTTGTATTTCTTGACTAATTGTGTATGAGTTTCTCTAATTGATGCAATAAACTCCATTAGTTCATTATTACACTTAGAGAGAGCCTTGTTCCAAACAAGTGACCTTGAAGCCATTTTTTAAGCAAATTCATGGACATGTCCTTTCCTGTTATCCCTAACCCTAAGAACCCTATCTCTATTTTTTCTTTCTTTCTATCTCTCCCCCTCTTTCTCTCTCTCTTGGAACTTAGAACCTACACAACACCAATCAAGCCCACTCTTCCACTCGCCATAAACCTATAGCCCTAAAACAATATAGCCTCGAAACCTCCTCGGCGACGTCTCCGCATAACTCCAATCGAGCCCATTCTTCCACTCGCCATAAACCCATAGCCTCGAAACACCATAGCTTCAAAAACCTTTTTAGCACCACTAATCTCCACTATCACTTATCCAAAAATTGTACCTCATCACTATCACGAAACCCTCACCCATTTAAACTAGTTTCAACCCCAAAAACTATAGCCTCTACAATCGTAAAACGCCCCCACCCTAAATTTAGTTTTTGAATTAGGATGAAAATTATAGAGGGTGGGGTTGTTTTTGTCTTTTTTATTATTTAAATTAGTTTTTAATTTTATTTTTTAATTTATGATTGAGACATTGCTATTTGAGACCCATTATGTCACGTGTCAATATATGATTAGTTGTCAAGAACAATAACATGCCATGTAGGATGAACAATTGATGGAGTTATAATAGAGGGTCCGAATCAATAAATTTTAAAGAGTAGAAGGTTTTAATTAAGCTAAAAAATAATAAAGGATCTTAATCAAGAAAATTAAAACTATGCAGGGACCAATTATGGGGTAAACCCATTTTATAACATTTTAAAATAAAAATAATTAATTGTATGTTTGCTATCATTATGAAAAGGTTCTCAAAATAATTTAATGAGCTGCCATTTGATAATTAATGATAGAAGAGCATTATTTTCACTCATAAATTAAAAAAATACTTTATTGAAAGAAAAGTAATTCTTTTTTTTTTTTTTTTGTCTTCTTTATACTCCTACCAAAAGCCATGTTTTTTTTTAAACTATTTTTTGTATTAAAGTGGTACTATTTATTTTTATGTTGAGTTTTAAGTATTACAAATAGGATAAAAGTGGTACTATTTATTTTTATGTTGAGTTTTAAGTATTACGAATAGTACAAATTTGTTAAGAAGTGACAAGATAGTTAAGTTTATTGTATCTTTGAGAAGACATGTAACATGTTATTGATTTGTTGCATTAGATAAATTCTACGGACAAGTGCATATCATCTCTAAAAAGCAACATAATTATGCTTTGAGACAGATTATCTAAAAATTATGATAAAACTATTTTGATGGTTTGGTTATCTCTATATCATGAAACATGATAAAATAATTTTTAATTCTTAATTTTTTCCAATGATCAAAATAAAAAGTTCTAATTATTTATCTATCTTAATTTATAATTAATTAATTTATGTATTATGTAGATTTTTATTATTAAATTGTGTTTCTTTTTATGGGCTAGGAATAATAATTTGAGACGATGTTATGTCCGTGATGTTATAATTAAAATCATGAAAAAAATTTTGACATGAAATTTAATAGTATGCTTTTTATAATGTAAATGTCATTACTTTTCTATTTTTTGGTTTTGATTAGTATTTAATGATTTTATTTTAATTCAGCATAAAGCAAGTATTAAATAAAATATCTTGCTCACATCTTAGTTGGTTATATTGCTTTTGAAAAACTATCACTACCTTTTGGCTAATGAGATACCTAGATCATGTTTGATGAATATATGTATATATATATATATATATCTTTTTTGCTAATATATTTCATATGCATATTTATAAGATAATTTGCACAACAAAAATATTGATCCATAATATTTTTTATAATTTATAATGACTTATCAAATATTACTATTAAAAAAGAATAGTGATATTATTGACAGTTCATATTTGTGATATCAACCATATTGTGGATACAAATATAAATAGATTGAGAATTGATTTATAAATTTATTTATATTGGTCAATTATAATTAACATTGAAATTATTTATTATTCTGTTATGTCATGTTATCAAAATAAATGAGAAGCCAACAAAGATATTATATCCAATACTTTTTAAGATATATTGATCATATTGGATGCAAAGTTAAGGAAATCAAATTTAAGTAGCATTAGAGGTTATGGGAGTTTTGTCAATATAAAAAAAGTATTTCAAATCTCTAACGATACTTATGATGCGATAAGTATAAGACTTAAGTATTCTAAATGACAAATCATTAAATTTATTTTGATTGTTTTCCTATGTATTTGAGATTCACCTTTAATGATGAAAGTATGCAATACTTATGTTTGTATGTAATTTTAGATTATTTTATGAATATTTTTGGATCCATGATTGAGTTTTTTTAATTTATAAATAAAAAGGAGGGGGGGATGTGACTTGCGTTGAATTTGTCATTACAATTTATGTTTGATACTCATATCTAATTAAAGCGACATAAGCAATTATGGCAATAATAACCTTGTTAGCATATTATTAATAAGATAAATTGACAAGGTACATAATTTAGTAAGGGATTTTTCATCTATTATTTTTTCATATGAAAATAAAATTTTGATATATTATATTATTTTAAAGAAATATATCTTATTAATATCGAGGCCATAAGAAATAAATTATGAATGTTAATGATAAAATAATAGAATAATTTATGCCATCATCTTGTCTACAATGGTATTAAGAAAAATATATAATATGTGAATAGTGGAGGCATATTAAAATTATCATTACACCGAAATGTATTATGTCAATAGTTAGAGCATGCCTAAAAAATGTTATTACATAGAAAATTTGATGGAGAAAATAATATTTTGTATTTCAATATACATTATTATAATTCTCTCTTGATGTTATTTATGTGATGCTTATGAAGACATTTATAAAAGCATTCCTATTATACAAAAGATATGATGATGGTTATGAAATATTTGACAAATATGTTGAGAGAATTGATGAAATTAGTGACACCTCCTATTATACAATTAAGATACAATGATGTTTTGATGATATTATCCGATAAGTAGAATTAGAGATGTTCTTATTATATAATTAAGGTATAATGATGTTTTATTGACATTGTCTAATATGAAAAAAGTAATAATTTAAGAAATTTAAATTTCTAACTAAATAGTGATATTTCTATTATATAAATGAGATACAATGATGTCAAATTTATATGAAAAGCCAAAGATAAAAAAATATCTATATTCATTTTAACGTGACTATGTTCAATATTTTTCATTGTATTAAATAAAAATACAATGATAACAACTATACTACGATCAAGGAAAAAATATTTTCTACTAAGGCGGCCATAAAGCAAAACCCCTAACACCGGACATCCTTCATTGTCGAAGGCTTCCCCATGAGGGAAGCGCCTTACCTCCTTTACCTAGCTCCTCTCCCCTCTACCTTTTATTTCTATTTCAACTCCCACAACTACTAAACTAAAACTACAAACGAATAAAAATAATACTTTTTTCTATGCAACTGCCATATTAAACGTACCTTTTACTCATCAATCCTTCCCCATATCACCATTATATCTAAACCCTTGTTTTCTTTTAAAGGAGAACCAACAATAGAATTCTCTATTGTAAATCTATAGCAGATCGACCAAGATCTTTAAATTCTCAAAGATAGCTAAATTTTCTAAAGGGCATCCTCCCATTAACACCATCAAATCACATATTCAACAACAATAGAGATTGTCCGAGACTCGTGTTGCAGGTTTGATTGATTTGAGGTACATTTTAATCGAAGTTATTCTCAAGAGATGATTTCATCAAAACCTGGTCTAAGACTCCCACTTGATTGAAAACTCTTTCTTTTATTTATTTAAATGGGATGAAGCTTTTAGCATACGGTTTGAATCACCTAAGGTTACAATATGGGTGAGGCTCTCGAGCTTCCCTATCTCTTTCTTCCCATCAACATTCTTACAGGAGATTTTTCAGCCATTCGAAAACTTTTTATGTCTTGATGAATGAACAATGAATGGTTCGTAACCCATGCATGCTAAGGTCTTTGTGAAAGTGGATCCGATAGCCTTCTATTCCTTCAAGAGTGTGGATTTTAGTTGATCCAAATATATCTAAAGGTTTTTGGTAACTTATTCAAGTATAATCCAAAATATCTTTCTCGTGATTACCGTCACTTACAAGGTCCTTCAAAAGACAACTATCGTAAGCTCTCACAATATGCTTAAACCCTAGTTCAAAATGCTCCTCTTATAACCAAGGTAATAAACACGGAGAAATCATCCAAATAACGAGTTTGGAAAACTATGCAGAAAAGGCTAGGATGCAAAAAGCTCTTTTTACCTTAATTATACTATAGAAAAAGAACCAACTTATGCTAAACAAGTGATGGAAAAATCTTGAACCCTTCAAAAGGAAAAAAAAGGTATTAGTCTCTCAATTAGGAATGAATTTCCCTTGATAAAAGATTGATGAAGATCCAAGAGTAGCCTTTTGTTCTAAAGGGAAAAACATGGCCACTCCAATGGAGAATAATTAATGTACCCATGAAGTTATTGCATAGATTAAAGAAAGAGGTATTAGTCAACTAAATCCATTTGATAATGAAGAAAAAATTAATCAGTCTTTATGAAATAGTATTACCCCAGTAGAAGTAGATATATAACCTATCATAGATACAATATAGGAGTTTGCAACTCTAAATAACTTTAATTCTTTGAACGAGTTGACGTATTGTAGTATGGATGATGGCGCTTTGATTGATCATTTTAAGGGCTAAGTTGTCTCCCTGTGTTGTTATAGAATGATTAATGGATAAATAATTTTAGGTGGATTCGAAGTTTAAAGAAAAATTGAAGCATATAGAGAAACAAGGTAAAGTGGTGTCTAAAAAACAAAAAAAGAAACTACTTAAGAGCGTGGTTCGAGTGTACTTAATGTGTTACCAAATATGATGAGGATCATAAAGAAGAACCATTTTTCTCTTTGCCTTATGAATAACTTAATTTGGAATTTAAGGAGTATTTATGCTCTAAA